CCTATTAGTGTTGAGTCGATGATGAAGAACTAATTGAAAAAACGAGTACATCTCCTAGCTCAGTCTGTTGTGTTTTTCTAAACACGAGAAAGCAGGCAGGCAGGAAGGCAGACAGACAGGCAGGCAGGCGAGCGGGCGGGCTATAGACCAGCAAGAGGCTGTATTGATGATTGGCTATGTAGGGAATACCGAGATAATAGATCCCGCGGCTCGAACTCATCCAGTCAGCCAGGTGAGAGCGAGAGAGAGAGCCTACAGACAGTTGTCATTACATTCTAATTTGGTTACTTTCATTAGACTCCAGTAAGTGCTTGAGACTATCAAATGTCAACATATGCTGCTATACATTATTTGCCACATCATCATCATCATTTCTATGTGACCACATAGAAATAATGCACTTCTCTCTCTTCACCGAGTAATATCATCATCATCGTCATCATTACTCAGTGTCATCAGTGTCAATATCTGATCAATGCAATCATCGTATTGTAGCATTTTCCCATCACTATACAAACACAACTGTATAATCCCTTCTTACACAGGGGATTAGCGAGCGAATGAATACTCATGGTTTATGGAGAAATGATGGATCAAAGAATACTCTTTCCGATAACTGACACATTTCTCCCTACACTTAGATGTCTGTATCACGATTGTTGAGGAGTTAGTTATTCATATTGACCACACCAATGTTTTTGTGTCAACAATATCCAGCTGTTAGGATGCGTCAATTCCAGTTGCTTTTGCACAGCATGTGTAGGCGATGGTATGCATAAACGTCTCATGGTAGATTACATACATATCCAGTGAAATGAAGAAGGCAATTTATGCAAGTTATGAAGATGAAACAGGACCGAATAATCAGCTTACTGACCTAGGAAATGATACCACCGTCTGGTCCAGCAATTACCCACCACTGGCTTATGCAAGACGAGCCTTCTGTATCCGTGCTGAGTTTTGCTTAACGAGCAGTCCGCTGGCATTGGCTGATACAATTTCCCAAATAAGTCAAGTCATGGTCTACACGCTCCACCACTTCACTCCCTATCTCTAAGCTAGGAGTCAATGTAGTCCAGTCCAGTCCAGTAAAGTCTAGTCCTGTAGCATCTTCGACAGGAGCAAATCGCATGCTAAACATTCGAAAGTTTCTGCCTGTCAAGGTATTCAGAAGACTCTACATTTGGTCAGTGTCTTCACCCACAAGGACTATATCATCTGCATATTCTAATTCAACGAGACTATTATTCTCTGGCAACAGGTCGATCTCTGAGTCACTGAAGTCAGTCAGAGTTAAGTCCATTACTACATCTATGATGAAACTGAACAGGAATTGGGTCAGTGGGCATCCCTCGCCGACGCGAACCACCAGTTTTCATCACTTCTGATGACAACTCTCCGTAGGCTCTCTCTCACCTGGCTGACTGCATGAGTTCGAGTCCGGTGCCTTCACCAGTGGGATTTATTTTCTCGGAATTGCCTTCACATCCATACATCGCCATAATACCTCTCCGACGACGCGATCGAATACGGCTTTCACGTCAATAAATATGAGGATTGTTCGATGCCACTAAGTATGTCTGTGTTCCAGTATTATTCGAAACATGAAGATACGATCAATACAGGCTCTTGCTGGTCTATAGCCCGCCCGCCTGCCTGCCTGCCTACCTTCTTTCTCGTGTTTAGAAAAACACAACAGACTGAGCTAGGAGATGTACTCGTTTTCAATTAGTTCTTCATCATCGACTCAACACTAGTTACACTAGTTACTGACTAGTCTGCAATCAGAAATATCCAATACAGTCCTACAGGAGGTCAGTCGCGAGCCTGAATAGCTCAGTGGTAACGTCTCTGACTGCAGCACTGGGTGACGCGGGTTCGAATCTCAGGAGGGACATCAGTTCCTTCAAGGTTGCAGATACGCCTTGCTGATGAGTGCCAACTAGCACGAAACCTAGGTCCAAGGCTTCCTGCCAATTGCCTCCAACCATCTAATACCAGATAAATGCCATTATCACGATTGTTGAGGAGTTAGTTATTCATATTGACCACACCAATGTTTTTGTGTCAACAATATCCAGCTGTTAGGATGCGTCAATTCCAGTTGCTTTTGCACAGCATGTGTAGGCGATGGTATGCATAAACGTCTCATGGTAGATTACATACATATCCAGTGAAATGAAGAAGGCAATTTATGCAAGTTATGAAGATGAAACAGGACCGAATAATCAGCTCACTGACCTAGGAAATGATACCACCGACTGGTCCAGCAATTTCCCACCTATATAGCTTAGCAGACATCCACAAACAAGAGGTATCTCTGTGTCAATCCTTTACATGTCGTGACCACTCTCTCTCTTCCGTGGCACGATGGCTAGCAGGAACTTTACAACCTGGGAGAAAGCTAATCGCCAAACACTCCCTAGTGGATACGTTTGAATTTGTGGATCCAATAAGTCAAATCAATGTATCTGGCTTAACTGTGACACCGTTGGATTTGACGTATTCACTATTCACCAACGTCATCTCAACCGAAACTGTATGCTACCTATGTGAGTTGATTGATTCAAATGTTCAGTTCTGAATATCTGCGAAATGTTATTAAAGACTTGATAGAATCGATGATTCCTGAGTATTGTGTTGACATTTGGTTGTCTCAAGCACCTATTGAAGTCTAATGAAAGTAGTAAAATTAGAATAATTGAAAGTTAGTGGAATATGATGAGTACTAACGGTGGTCTGCTCCTAGCCGTGTTCTAGCCCACCTTGTATATGCTGATTATCATAACGTCGATGTCAATGTCAACACTGGCATCTAAAGTTATCCATTGTATTCCGACTAATCTTATCTTAACTTGCCCTTCCAGCTCGCTCCTACATATACCCGAAGAGATCGGAATCCATGTTAAGAAGTCTAGCTAATGTATTCAGAAGAATTTACGACAGACACTCTAATCAACTTGGTCACTATCACTTCATTGTCAAGATCTTACAATTTCGCCTTTGCCCACTCCCGCCAAAAATCCTACATCCCTTACTAGCCCATAACTTCAGAAGTTGCACAAATTGTCTTCCTCATTTTATTCCATATTTAATGCTTCATGGCGTATCTCGAGTCGAATATCCTCAAATATTCAACAGTTAAACGATTCGAAGTCTACAAGAGGGTGGATATCGGTGATATCTTAATCGTCACCGATGGAAACACTGACCTGAATAAAATCTTACAGATAGACACTCAACAACACTCAGTCAAACTCAAAATCCAAGAGGAATAAAAAGGTGAATTAGCCTCCCTAGATGTCCACCTTACAAGACGATCAGACGGAAGCCTACAAAGGTCAATCTACCACAAGCCAAAATGGAATGGACAGATCACAAACTAACACAGTTTTGTCCCAATGAGCAAACAAATAGCTCATCGCCTCTCTGGCCACGAGAATCTACCATATATTCACTGAAGACGCATTGAATTGAATAAGGAGGAATCGGAATCGTTCATAAGAACTAACTCTACTCAAAACTGGATATCCGACCTCCTTCAATGCCTTCAATAAACACCTAAATAGTAAGGCCGACACACCTCGAGAGCTGGATTCGCCAAAGATACACCAACAGCTTGTTGTAAATCTGAAATTCAAGGGAGATACAAATAATCAGATCCTCCGAAGCTGCCTGGAGAGAAAATCGTACGACGTTCTTTGCTGCATCTCTACGTCTCATCCCTTCACAACCACGCTCCCCTACACATGCTATTATTCATTCACAAAAACCTCAAAGACAACACCCTACTGTTGACAACTTCAAGGTGTATTCACCAATTCACCTCATCCTGTGGATCTGATTACATAGGCCTCCGTATCACCAGTCATTTTCTAGACGTGCCCAACAACACCTACCAGCATGGTTGTCAAAAGGAGAACGTGGAGTTGTCAACAGCTCAACTCTCGAGCATATTATTACTTCCGGCCATGCAGCCGGGACTCCTTTCAAAGTCATACACAAAGTACGAACAAGTCGTTCGAAAGGATTTATTCCGCCAACATCTTCTTCATGCAGCTGACGTCTTAGCAGTCCTTGAGGAGAAACCTGAAGTCTGTCTACAAAAACGTTTCATCCAGCCAGCTCTCTTACTACCATGGCCTTAGTAGTATTTTCTTCCTTTCTTCCTTCCTTCCATCATCCCATCATTTATTCATTCATTCCTTATTCGTCTTCCTGAATAACTAGCTGTTTTAATCAAATCTATGCAGTCCATTTCATGTTTCTATTCTACAACTGATTTTCAACCTTCTGTTCTCCTCTTGTCTCTTATCAACTATTAGTGCTGAATGATTATTCATCACTCAACCAATTAGTTGTCAGGCCTTTTGATTAAGTACGACTATTCCCAGTTTTTCAAACATACCTATTGCTCATACAAACACTCTGACTTGCTTTATTACTCGCTGAAAGTTACCTTTGACCTCTGTTGTCAATCAATCTATATTGTATGCATAAACAACACCCTACACAAATCTACAGCCTTGAAGTGACTTTACGAGAAGCGATCTGTCTACTGCTACTGACAAGCCATGTCTTCTTTATTTAAAAAAACAAGGAGTAGAAAAGGTGATTCCAAATCAGACCAGATCAGGTCAGATCACACCAGTTGACTACATGAGACCAGGCCATATCAGACCGGGAGGATGACGCTTGCCCAAGTCAAGGCGACTTGACTCTCCACATGAACCAATCACAATTGAGATTGACTATTATTGGTGTGGAGAAAATGAAGGTGAATAATGAATAATTATAGCTGTTATCACATGCATCCCCTAAAGAAAGTGTGATGATGGGATGACGATTGGATGGTGATTGGATGAAGGATGCAGATGATCAGACCAATCAGTGAGCAGCTGAAATCAAGCATGTCAGTTAAGTAAGGTATATAAGCGTGAAGAAGTGGCATTAGGCGTTTAATTTGACGTGACGTGGCCTTACTTGACTGTGTTTGTGGAAAGCGGTTGTCAACAAGCATCATGGTAGGTCGTTGTTGTTGTCGTTGTTTATGTGTTATGCATTGTGGTGGTGACTTAAGCTACTTGCTGAGTTGGTTGATGTAGGTGGTCGTACATTCATGGTATGTAATGTGGTGTTCTAATCAACATTGACTAGTATTTGGCTAGCCTGTTGATGAGGAGAAGGATGTGTTAGCTAGAATGTGAGGCAGGACTGATTTACTTCCAGGTGAGAGAGATGAGGGTCCACCTACAATACGGCGTGTTGTATTATCAGTTGCTGTGGCTTTTTATTCGATTGGTAATAATCGGGATGAAGATGAGTTGTGGTTGTGTGTCGAGTAGGTGAGGATAGGAGGTGAAATGCTGTCAGATTAGGCCGGTGGTATTTCGAAGGAGGTAAGTGTGGACTGGTTGTGTGCGTGTATTATGGTCACGAGGAGTTGTATAAGACAGTATGTGAGATTCGCTTTGGTGGAGTTTTCAGTTGTAAGCTGTTGTAAATTTTTCCTCGGAGGAGTAAGTTGATGACAGTTTGTTTGTTTGTTTATTTGTTTTTCAGCGTGAATGTATTAGTCTTCATGTTGGTCAAGCGGGTGTCCAGATGGGCGATTCGTGTTGGGAGTTGTATTGTCTTGAGCACGGTATTGAGCCAGATGGGCGAGTGCTGGTTGACTCGACAATTTCAAATGGGAATGACGCATTCAGTACATTTTTCAGCGAGACGGGTTCCGGTCACTATGTTCCACGTGCGGTGTTTGTTGATCTTGAACCGACGGTGGTTGATGGTTTACGCCATGGGAAGTACAAGCAGTTATTCCACCCAGAGCAGATGATTACTGGTCGGGAGGATGCGGCGAACAACTACGCACGTGGCCACTACACGGTGGGCAAGGAGCTGGTGGACGAGGTATTGGATCGGATACGGAAGTTGTCCGAGAGATGCACGGGTCTTCAGGGATTCCTGATATTTCATTCGTTTGGAGGTGGTACTGGTTCAGGTTTCACCTCGCTACTGATGGAACGGCTGTCGGTGGATTTCGGGAAGAAGGCGAAACTGGAGTTCGCCATATATCCCGCTCCACATATCTCTACGGCTGTTGTTGAGCCGTATAACTCAGTTCTGACGACTCATACGACGTTGGAGCACTCAGATTGTGCGTTCATGGTGGACAACGAGGCGATTTACGAGATATGCCGTCGAAATCTGACCATCGATCGACCATCATACACGAACTTGAATCGTCTGATTGGTCAAGTGGTGAGTTCGATAACAGCTTCTCTTCGATTCAGTGGTGCGTTGAATGTGGATTTGAATGAGTTCCAGACGAACCTTGTGCCTTATCCTCGTATTCATTTCCCGTTGACGACATATGCACCGATCATCTCAGCTGAGAAGGCGTTCCACGAGCAGCTGAGTGTATCTGAGATCACGAACTCGTGTTTTGAGCCAGTGAATCAGATGGTGAAGTGTGACCCTAGGAATGGGAAGTATATGGCGTGTTGCTTGTTGTATCGTGGTGACGTTGTTCCTAAGGATGTGAATTCAGCGATTGCGAGTATCAAGACTCGGAAGTGTATTCAATTTGTGGATTGGTGCCCTACAGGTTTCAAGGTGGGCATCAATTATCAGCCGCCTACGGTTGTTCCTGGTGGTGATTTGGCTAAGGTGAAACGTGCTGTCTGCATGTTGAGCAATACAACGGCGATATCTGAGGCGTGGTCACGTTTGAACCGTAAATTCGATTTGATGTATTCGAAACGGGCTTTCGTGCACTGGTATGTTGGTGAAGGTATGGAGGAGGGTGAATTTTCGGAGGCGCGAGAGGATTTGGCTGCTCTGGAGAGAGATTATGAAGAAGTAGCCAGTGAGACGAATGTGGACGGGCAATCAGATGACGGTTATTGATGCAACATGAATAGATTTGCTTATTTGAATGAATTGTAATATAATTGATCAGACTATTTTCTTTGTACATATAAACGAACTTATGAAACAACGATCATGTCTTTTCTTGTTTTGCTTTGCGTCCTGTGTTCTGGTTAGTTGTAATAAGCGGATTGTAGTTGATTGTGGTAGGCAGGAATTAGTAGGACTGTTGGATCGGGTGTGAAATTTGCGTTCGTGTAAGTGTTCGCGTGATAATGATTGTCTCGTCTGAGCTAGTATGATTATGAGCTGAGAGGTGTTAAGGTTTGTGTTGCTGTTTGTCCGTGCTGGAACTAACTCGTAATCGATTGAAGTGGAGTGACGGTGTGTGGTTGGTTGGTTGGTTGGTTGTGGATACACGTGTTGCCTATATGTTGTGATAGAGCGTGGAATTGGAGATGGTCGGTTAGGAGGGACATTTGTGACGACGAGCTTGTTTTGTGAGTCGTGTCAATTGAAGGGGCGTGCGGTTGGGGGTGGTGAAGTGTTGAGTGGTTGGAGCGTTGAGCGTTGTTTTCCGTGTTGTAGGTTGTGGTGGTTTCGCATAGATAATAATAATGATGGTGGGCTTTATTCGAAAATAGTTCTCGTGATGCATTGTTGAATTTCCTGAATTTGGTGTAATATTTCATCTAATTTACTCGCCAGCAGGGAAAACAGAAATAGGAAGTAACATTACTGAGCTGATGATCGCAAACCCTGTTTTAGGCACTGTACTAGCCGTGAGGACAACAATGTGAAATTAGGATGATGATGATGTTAATATCTAAAGTAAATTATATGGAGGCCAATTGAATGATGAGCTGGTATTAGCGAACAATAGGAGAGGATGAAAGAGGCAATTAATAATTTCGCTGATGACATATTTAGACGTAGGTTATGCGCTTGACATTATATCTATCATATGGGACGTGGGCTAATATGAGGTGTCTGTCTGTCGACTAGAGTATTAACGAGTTGACTGGGTGGCACACCACCTGCTCTACTGACGACAGTCCTCAATTTTCTACACATTATGATATAGTCTAATTGATGTTGACTGAGATGGGGTAGCAGAGAAGAAGAAGAGTAGGTAAGATGCACGAGTTAACAAAGTGTAACAGTGGAGGTTGAATGATTGCAGACTGTCTTAACTTGATAAGGTTAAGGTAGTAGGTTGGACGGAAGATTTTCTCAGAAATGAAGAAGATATGGGATTACCGACAAAGGAAAGTCAAGTTGTTTTCATTCACTTCATAAACGGAATCACACAGGGATTAATCGTATCACACTGAGAGATAAGAGACAGTACGCGTCTGTAGCCTATATCAGTCCTCGAAAATGCATGTGTCTGCATGACGATGCGTTTTCTCATTGTAAGTGTTCACGGATGGCAGTGACTATCAGGTGGCTTACTAGAATCATACCGGTGGAATGTTCACCACTTTGTACACATTATTGGTGAGGTCGAAACCACAAAATGGAATCCAGAGAGCCAGTCGTTTCCCAAGAATCTACTGATATATTCCGGAGTGTTTTCTTGAGGTGGAGGACTCGCTTATGCTGATTACTCCTGGTATAGATAATTTATCAAACGAGGGAATGTTTAACTGACAGTTTCAATCTCTCCTCCTCGATTGATATCGTAGACGGAGAGGAGATCTCCTCACAATGTTGTAAACTGTGAGAAATGACTATAGACGAGACCTGTCTCTTCTTTTCTCTCTCTCCCTCTCGATGTCTCTGCAGATCGGAACATGTCAGTGGACACAGCAGGGGATTTGAAAATCCTAGGTAGAACTCTATCATTGTAGATTGTTCATCGTCCCAATCAGTCACAAATTCATCTAAGCAACATCCAGAAGATGTGGTGTCCTCGGTCTCGATCGACTCATTTCCGAAAGGACTGTACAATTACGGATACTTATTAGGAGAGGATCAACACAGGCTCGAAGCCTTCTATTCTCAAACAAATATCTGAATGTGAATGTGACACCACTTCATAGTGTAAGGAGTCCCAGTCCCAGTTGACCAACCTACGTGAGAATCCCAATTCCATTCGTATTTGATCCCCTTCCCCCCCCCCCCTGGCCACACCATCGTGCTAGTCAATGCACTAATTTATGATAACCTATGAAAAGTGTCAAGGAAAGAGAGTAAATGTTAGGAGGATAAATACAGTGGAATGGGGTGAGATTAGGTAATCACTCCAGCCACATTATGATAATGAGAGAGTAGATTTCGATTCTACAAGCTCTTCTCATGATGAGGGGATGAGATAACTCTCAGTAACTTGGCGCCTCCCTCACCCGATAGTTTCAATTTGTGAGTCCAACAAAATGGATTATCTTCAATCCCTAATGTATTCTAATGTTTATCGAAATGCTGGCGTTTGAGCAATACAAGAGACTTAGCTGCACCAGCATTATGATGATAATCTAGTTTCAATAAATAGATATAAAGTTTTTCGCCAAGATAGAAAAAGTTCTAAGAAAAAATGTTGAGGAGGGGTAGCCACTTTTATAAACACAAGTTGGTCTACATCAAATCACGTTTGCTTCAATTATTCTAATGACAAAATAGACTTCATAACCGTCAGGTGTCGCCCAAAACACTTAAGTAAATATTCTTATATATACATAACAAATATTTACATAAAACCCAATTGTAGCCTTTCTAATATAGTTTGCAGATGAATTTGCTGGTCCTGCATTCGGAAACTCGTTGTCTATAGTCTGTGGTGATTTTAATTCATGTGATCACAGCTTTCTTACTTCACTTGGTCATGAGAATCTAGTCAAGTTTAATACACGTCTGGTCAAATCACTAGACCTGGTTTTCATGAACGACCGTGATGTATATGAAACCCGAAGGAGAGCTCCTTTGCTAAACTCTGACCACTGCATTATTCGTATTTCACCGAAAGTGTACGGCAAGTTACAACAAAAATTGTTTAGTCATTTAACAAAGAAGATACATGAACGTTCATATTCCCATGACAACATTCTAGCACTAAGAAGCATGTTGTATGATACCAACCAACTGGGAACTATTTCCTGACGATAAGTTGGATGCTACTGTCTCTAGTAGAACCGACTATCTGAAGTTTTGTCTGGATATTTGCTGTCCATATGAAACACTGTTTTCGAGATTTCACAGAATCTCTTCTTTGCAGCTGAAAAAACTTAGAAGACAAAAAGAGAAGTTGTATAAGAATTGTGGTAATACTGGTGTCCGTAAAATAAACACCCTTATAAAAATTGAAATAGAAAGGTTGAACAGACTATATAATGAAAAATTTTTATCATGTAAAAATCATTCAAACATTTGGAAACTTTTCAATAAACTTACGAGTAAAAAACAAATGTCTGTTGATGCTTATTCTGATGTTAATGCTTTAAACAAATCATTTATCATGAAACAAATTAATATGGTTGGGCCTGATGTACCTAGTCAAGATAATGGTCATTTTCCGGGTTTTAAAGAAAAGGATGTACTATTATGTTTGAAATCTTTAAATCCAACACTCAGCCTTGTTCCAGATAGTGTACCAGGCATTCTTCTTCAGAAGTGTGCAGACATCTTGTGTCATGCTCTTACTCAAATCTTTAATGCATCATTTAACAAGGAAACGGTACCTGCTGACTGGAAAGAAATCAAGGTTGTACCTGTACAGAAATCATCTTCTGGAGCAGGTATAAAGTTTAGACCGGTCGCCATAACATCTCCTTTTTTGAAAACTATGGAGAAACTTCTTTTGAATATTCTTAAACCTTCTTTAAAAGCTTTTAGTGACCCTAAGCAGTTTGCTTATAAGTGTGGGAGAAGTACATTAGATGCAGCCGTTGTACTACACCACAATATTGTTTCCTGCCTTGATAAGGGTGCTAAGTTCGTTCGAACAGCCTTTTCAGACTATACTGCAGCTTTCGACTCTGTTCCTAGGACACTTTTATTAGGAAAGATGATTTCAGCACAAACAGAGTCCTCGGCAACTAGATGGCTGTCTTCTTATTTTAAGGATAGGAAACAGCATACTGTTTTGGCTGGAAAGCGCTCCACTTCTCAGCTAACTGAAAGTGGTGTGCCTCAAGGTGCAGTACTTTCTCCATTTCTTTTCTCTTTCTTTTTGCATGACCTTCCGAACTCACCCAATGTTAACTTCATTAAGTCTGCTGATGATCTGACCGTTTCTGTCCCTGTAGTTTCCACATCGGATTGTTCCCATATGAATGGCTTCTTAGATGAAGTTAAGGATTGGTCTGGCTCAAATGGTCTTAAACGAAATCCAACTAAATGTAGTACTGTTGATTTCAGCTTGAGAAGTGAAAAAGACATGCATGGATTGATCCAATCTCATGATTGTTGTAATATTGATGGTACCATGATAGAGAGTAAGTCAAGTGTTTCTTATCTTGGAATTAGTTTCTCTTCAAACCTTTGCTGGTCGTCTCATATTCTTATAGTTTCTAAGAAAGTTTTCTGTCTGACTTATTGCATAAAGAAGTTGAGGCACTCAGGTATAACCCAATCTCTTCTCATACAATTTATTAATTCATGTGTTTTGCCCATCATTCTTTACTGTTCTCCATTAGTCTTCCCTGGGCTACTCAAGAAACACCATATAATACTACGAAGAACATTGAAGGCTGTAAGTAGGGTCAGTGCTATCCCTTTGACTCAACTAACCGACACTGTTGTCAATAGGCATATGAATTCTTGTAAACACTTAGCTAAAGTTATCTTGTCTGATAGTGAACATCCTCTTTATTCACAATTGTTTCCTTGCATCTCTTCGGGTAAGACCAGAAGAAATTTCATAAACATTTATGCTCGTACTACAAAATATAAAAATTCGACCGTACCATATTTGGCACGAGTATTGTGTGAAGAGACAAATATCAGAAAAGAACTTTTACAACATTTAAATCATTAACTAAACTATAAAATATAATGAAGCATATTAATGCATGTGTTATTTGTTATATTATTTATTTATTATTCACTATGACCTAGCAATGGTGTGATTTTGTTGGGTTTTATTTTTATTTTTCCTATTAACTATCAATATTTTAACATTTTTATATAATTATA